TATAATTGGATTATAAAATTTTGCATTTCAATTTGCAAGAATAGAAAATTAGTCATGCAAACGACCATACATTCCTGTTTACTATTGATTAGTGGCGGATTTTAAGAGACTCATGCCTTTTTTCTTGGGCCCAAACTGGTTAAATTTTTGTGATTTGCAACAAAAAATATTGTTTTTGCAACGTTTATTGCAACCAGAATAGCTACGCAGCTATTGTCATTCATTTCTTTATAGATATTTTTCAAAACAATATGTGAAAATTTTATCTTTGTTTTTTTCGACTCAAAAACATCGTGAATGGTTTTCCATTCATAAACCATTCCATATAAATTTATTTTCGTTGAATTCAACAGAATAGTTTTTTCAACAACACCATTGTGATGTGTTATTAAATGTTACATCAACTTCAGATGCGAACAGAAAAAATATTTTGTACGAGCCCCACGTCCATACAAGCTTACAATAAAATTTCTGAGACTCCATAAGGGTGATCTTCGAGTAGCTGTCGGTCATTTAACAGAACATGCCAGGGTTAAATATAATCTAAGAAATTCACGCCATAGAGATGACCCAGACTGCAGACTATGCAGAGAGGTAGAGAAGTAGAAAACACTGCTCATCTCCTAAGCAGATATCCAACGCCTATGAAGGATATCCAAAAAGTTCAAATTATGTGTACATTTTACAAACATCTTGAGTATGTGTATACCATTCAAATTAACTTTACAATAAGTCTACAACACTATTTCGTCATAAAATATCTATTTTCTCATAATGCGAAGAAATTGTCATTTTCATAATATTCACATATTGTAACCAAAATATTGTGATTTTGTGCCTACTGATAGATTCGGGTTGTGGTTTTCCATATGCATATCAATATAATTGGCTGCTTATTTATATTTTTCACCACAATAAGTTTACTGTGGTCGTCATGAAATTAATAGCAAGGTTTTGTGGTGTTTTCTGTCTATCGTCCATATTATATAGATAACATCTCTGAATCATAGCAAGGATGCATTTATTTCATGTAAAATTTAGCTTTTTATTCCAAATTTGCTTACGAAATTCTTTGAATTTTTCCGTTTTTTTTTTTGTATTGTATTGTGATGATGGTTAATCGTATCCATTCTGGTCGCAATACTTGATCGTCTGACTTTGAATGCATTCTTTACGAATCGCATATATTTGCATAATTTACAAAAGTTCCAACAAAGACGCTCGAAACCGGTAAGAGCTTTATATATGTTGACACACGCAATTTAGATGCCGACTAGAAACAGACGGAATTCAACATGGACAGCCATGCAAAGCAAAATGCTTAACGCTTCTTTAACAAAAATGAAAAATCGGAGCTTCAAAGTATGTTTTCTGTCCAATTCTTTCCATCTAACATCAACATACTTTTTGATTATTCGTGATTTATAGTTGAAGCATTTCCTTTTTATATCACATGCCAAGTCACGTAAAAACAATCCAAGTATTGGAAGAACTTTGCACAACATTTATTCGATGAAACATCGCCTGACATAAATTCATCGATTGATTATTTTATTTTTGGCAACATTTCTACGCAACTACAATATCAAACATATCTACGAATTCGGTTCATTATATTCAATTTGCATTGAAATGAGAAAAAAAAATTAATATTGTTGAACTAGTTTGTGTTCATAAAGAAATCCCACAATGAACAATAGGTCCATTGTTACAATTTCATCTGAACAAATCTGGGCATGACAATTTACGTAAGCGAAAATAAATTAAAATTTGTTTTAAAAGTTTTCAATGTTCGATCATTTTTCTCATCATTTTTTTTTCTTTTTTCAAATTTTATAACAACATACCATGAATCAACCATGATGCCGTTGGATAGTGCCTCACATTTCTCACTGTTTTGTTGGGGGAGTTTTGATAGAAATAATAAACTAAATCTCATTTAATTTACGTATTCAATGCATGAAATTGAAAAAAATAATAATAAGAGTTGACCAATTGGCATATTTTTAACCATTCTATAATTTATATTATTATTCAGATATGTTTTTCCCTCTTATTGTGCTGCACACATGAATATATGTGACGACACGTGTGGTTTTTTGGGGTCTCAAACTTGAAATGAGTATTTTCAATGGGGTACTCTCAACAGCTTTTGAATGGACTTTACGTTTCTTTGCAATTTTGATGTGAAACATTTATTGTAAGGGTGCGTACGGATTTTTTCGTCGGACAATAGAACAACATGTTGACAAAATGTTGAGTTTGACGATTATAAATGAGCGAATGGAAAAAGCTTTTAAAGTTGAATCGAAGTCAAAACATACAGTCACAAATAATGCCAATAAATCTAAATCGCGACGAACGTTGTCTGAAATTTCCAATAATTACCGTTCGTTGTCCATGACCATTATATTTAGCTTACATGTTAGCTCGTCGTATTTATATGATTTTATTTGTTCGCCTATTGATTACAAACAGATACTAGATGTATATACTAAAAAAGTTTTCAAGCATACTTGCGCCCACTACTCGCACTCCGATTCCAATTTTTCGAAATACCATATAGAATGTATACATATATTAAGCCGTTTCAGAAGGAGAAAAGATATAAAATAAATTGTCATCATCATTAGATTTATTGACTCTCGAATACACAATTTCATTTTATCGTTTCAGCAACATGCTAAAAGCATAATGCATAGCTATAGCTCAATGGTACGGGATGCAAATCATTCAGTGGCAAAGGACTCAATAAAAATTACATTTTCGCCATTCATTTAATCCTATTTGACATTTAACATTTTGAATGAATAGCAATACGACAGAAAAAAAATTCATTGAATGTTATGACCAATTTTGTAGTTTTTTTATCTTCAATTTTCTCTCATGTATCGCCCAACCGCATTTTAAGTTTTAACTGTGCTACATTCAAGTGTGAAAGAGAATCGACGAAATTGTTCTAATTCCAATCATTTTGCGACATTGATTTTACGAGCGGCTTCAACAGCTTACTTAGCGTTTGCATTTATTTGCGAGCTTGTGAAATGGACAAAATTGGTTTAAATAAATTACAAAATGTTACAGACGTTTTCATACACTTCGAACGATGTTGATGTTGTTGGGTAGGCGATTTTTGCTAGAGGACTTTTATGAAAATGTCCAAGACTATGAAATGCTATAATGCAAAAATATCTTCGCTCACATTGAACATAAGATTGATTTACGTACATTTCGAGTGGTATGTGTTGAAAAATGCACATTTTTGTTTTTAGCAGAATCGCAGTGAATTTGTTTTTCTATTGATTCGTTCGGAGAATACCAGTTATTTAAATGGTTGATTTCATGGACGTGAATTATGAATGAGAAAATAAGAGATATTGGACAAATTTCGATGTATAGTGGTTGGTGATAATTTATTTCGCTTATTTGAGGATTTTTGGCTGTTTTGTGATAGAAAATATTTGGAGTGGAATCGAAAACCACAAAATATGCAAAAATAACAGAGTTTGATAGTTTCGATGACGTCCCATTTGGTTATTATTGGTGGTTGAAAATTTATTGGAATCAATTATTTTAGATCATCAGTACTATGTGACGTGCAAATAATGCATGATTGTGTGACATTTGACGAAAATAGTCAATCCCTGTAAATGATGAATAATGCTTTCTCTGATATTTGACAGAATGGTCCGTTTCATTGATATTAATGGAATTAGGTAAGATGCAAAGAATACTACAAACGGTTAAAAGCGTATAAAGCCTATTTTTTAAACTAATATTCGAAGTTACAAACATATCATGATTCAAGTCCACGCTATAGTAAGGTGTTCGCCAATTTATTATTCAATCAGACTTTGAAGTAAGCATTTTTTCATAAATGAAATCTCATGTAAGTCATATGTATTTGGTTTGTCCGATCTATATAATAAATTTAGTCTCAATCTCAAATGCCATCGTTTGTAGCTAATTAAATATTTTTCTTCTTTTAACCAATTAGAGAATGCAATCAACTTATCGTCGCGATTCATTGCACATTAACATCATTAACAGAAGTTGTTGCAATGTTTATTGTGGAATAACAAGACGATAACGCGACACCATAAGCTCGAAAACTGTCATAAATAGCAGTTGTGAGCATGGTCGATTGAATGTGACCAAACAGTACCCAAAATCAATGGAATATTTTCCAATAAAATGTCAGTTACATTGGATCAAGTCTCAAATACATGCAATGCAATTGAATAACATCGATTATTTATCGAAAATGGAAGTACGAATGTACCAGCTTGAATTTATGTAAACACATTTTTTGGTAATTCTCTCTTTTTTGTCGTTTCGGTATAATATATATTTTTTGTATTATTGGAGAATGCATGTATAACACACACACACACACACACACATATATATATATATATATTTGATTTCATTTTGGCGAAGTTCATTCTTCCAAGTCACAGACTTGACAAAAATTGAATCTATTTGTCTGGATGCTAAGAACGAGAAGAAAAAAGGAATGGAAAAAGAATAAAAACAAAGGCTGTCTGTGAATTCAGCTATGTGGTTGATAGTACATGCACCGAAGCAATAATACTATTTTGTTGCGCTGCAGACATTTAACATTCCAAAAACACCAATAAATTTCCACCAAAATACCATACTATCAATGATAACACATGAACAACGAAACAAAAAAAAAATTACCAGCAAATAGAAGAATCGAAATATTGTCTATGAATGGAAATATTTATTTTTTTTGGCAATGTTCCCAAGAAACAATCGAATTGAATATCAGCAAATAAAACGAAATCAAAATGAATAAAAACCAAATTGAATGTGTTGCAGTCACTTGCTAAACTGTTCTCTATGCTTTGGTTATTTTCCAATTTAATTGGATAATTGGTAATATTACAGAAGCGGAACAAAGCTTAATTAATTCTAGATAAATAGTTATATCGTGCTATTTGTACGTCAAATAAAAACAATCACTAAATACATACAAATGTATAAATCGCACTGGCGTACGCTCCTTTTCGTAATGATTTCCAGAAACAGCACGATTGTAGTATGGCCATTTGAAAATATGTTTTTTTTTTTTTTATAACCGGCTTATAGATTTTGCTTTAAATTTACGTCTATTACATTCACTGGATGTGTCTTTATTGAAATACAAGCGGTCACTTTGTTTAAACATTTAACTTGATAATTTCAATTAAGTCGGTAACTAATTGACATTTTGAAGATTGCAAAAAATTTTTTATGAATAATTCGTTCCATTTTCCATGCGATGGCGGAAACACACTTTTGATACACTTGAATTTTTCTCATAAATTCGAACATCAATTGAATGAAATTGAGGAATATTTTTCAAAAACGTTACATGCGGTTTGTGTGTATTCACAGTCGTATTACGATAATAGAATATTGTAGGAGTAACGAGCGTCGAATGACCTGCTTGCATTGAATAACAACAAGGAACTGAGCGGTATTCAAGTCAGCACATGGAAAATATACTTTTATGAATCATCTTGTAAAACGTTGTGTCGCATCCATGTTCGGCATCCAATTCACACTCTGTATTATTGTTAGCAGAACAGTCGTTGCGCTACAAACGCACTCAGCAATTGCTTTTTAGATTCTCATATTCCATGGAATGACTACAGACCTTCAAATTATAAAAAAAAATGAAATTTAAGGTGTATTGTACAGCACTTTTTATTTTTCCTCTTTATTTAATCTATTAAAGAGAAGAGAAAAACATGAGAGTTTACACGCGTAGCGCTTTTTTGTGATTTTGTTTTCAGCGGAAAAAAAAGAACACATCGTTGGAATTTATAAAAACGGCTTCTTTTATTAATTCAAAGAAATCTTTTTCAAATATTCACATCAAATTTCTTTGATATTTCACACATTTCTTGAAGTGAAAATTCAACATCAAGTTGTTGTCCATATTCTCGTCATTTACCTCCTTAAATACCTATGTAGAATCTAATGAATTTTTTCTACTAAGCAATTGAATTTTTTTCAATAGATTATAATTTAATAAGGAAAATACAATGTTCACAGTTAATTAAAGTTTATTTGTGTTATTAATTTTTTAATTATTACTACCATTCAAAATCAACATTTTTCCGGTGTAGTAATGCATGCTACAACAATTTTATGATTGCATGAATTGTGTATGATAAGAACCAACCACACACTTTTATACTGAAATGAACTTTCACCTTTCCTTGAAATGTTCCATCTTATGATAAGTGTTCAAAGTAAACCATAGTCGTTGTGTTGAGTACATATTGTGCACATGCAATGCTTTGATTAGAACAGAATATAATATATAATAAATACAAGTGAAACGTAATGTGCAAACGAAATTACTTTTAAAGAGCATAAAAGAGCATAAGCCAAGCCACTGAGTATCATGAGAGAAAATTACGTTGCTAGAAACTGAGAATCATTCTATATGGGAAAAATTCCAAGAAAAAAATCAAACTGAACAAATGAACAAAAACATTTTGAATGGAATTTTCTTTTCTTCATGCACATGAGTTGACATTTTGCACTTGTTTACATTTTGTGACGATTGATGGCTTTTAAATTAATTTCACCTTTTGTCACCTGAATGACAAACATGTGTAGGACTTGATATGATTCATGTGATTGCACTTGAAGGAAAAAAAATGTCAACTCAAAATGCTTTTATCATGCAACATAAATAAAAGTGTAACATCTTTGCTAATACAGACTCTCGCATAATTCGAAATCACTTTCGGTAATTCGAATCTCTCGGTAATTTGAACGAATCTCGTGCTACCAACGGCTTCAATCTATCGAGAGTTGATTGTATTCGAATATATGTTTACTTAAATAAAAACAAAGGTTTTTTTTCCCTGGTTTTTTCATTTCCAGGAAAAGTTTTCACTTTGCATATGCAATACTTCAAAGAAGCCATAAGAAAACCATAGATTTATTGCCTAAAACGATAAAAAATAAAATTCACATATAGTTGGCGCTGCATTCTATGCAAACTTGTTTTCCGTTGCAACGGACTAAGTGGAAAGTATACGCTTATTACATAGAATGTGGCGCCAACTATATGTGGATTTTATTCTTTATCTTTTTAGGCAGTAATCTTATCGCTCCTTTAATTATTTAGTTCGTGGAATCTAGAACAAAAACTATTTTGCATCCAAAAAATGGACGAATCAGAACTCAAACAATAAAAGTACCATCATAAATAAATGTGTTTTTTATGAGCGACATGAAATTCAAAAAAAAAAAAAAAAAAAAAACAACTGCATCGAAATGCATTTCTTAATTTTGCTTAATTTTATAAAAACTTTTTAACAAAATAAATTCACTTTTATTCGTTTAAAATGTTATCGAAATAATGAATTTGAGAAATCATCAAAGTATTTATAAAATGTTCAAAAAAGTACCGAAAAAATACCAACAAGAACCGATTTCGTTTTTACTTGTCGGTCTTTTTTATTGAAAATTTTGATTATGTTTTAATACTTGTACCAACTGTTTAGGTATTTTGTTACTGGCTCCAATAATAAAATCTAATATAAATGCAAATTAAGAACCGAGAGTTTTATTTGATTTATTATTTTGAATTGTAGTGAATGCAATTGTGTTTCGATACGAATAACTTATTAGTAATATATGTAATTTATGCATTCAAAACATTATAACACATACAACTAATAAATATAGAGGATTTATTGCATGCAGGTCTTTATACAAAAGCGATAAGTATCATCAAATATTATCATAGAAATTAAATACAGCTTCATTGAAGATGATCACGACCAATTGATACAGAAACTTTCCGATACGCTTCAAGTGTATAAGCTTTATTTTACTCTTTTTTATCAATAAACAAATTGATTAAATTCACGTAAACAAAATGATAGTTACACATTATCCAAAATGAAACAACAAAATTCGTACAAAAAATGAATGTAAGATCATCTAGTATTGAATAGAAAACGAAAAATAATGTAGAAGTGATGAAAATGTGTCAAGCTTATATCGCAAGGATAAATTGAGCAAAGTTTTGTATTTTTTTCGGAAATGTTTGTTGAATTGCGAACAGGGACACAATACAAGTACAAATATGAGGGGGATTAATGGATTTATGACACAAAAATGTTCACCGGAGAATTCAAATCTAAAATCACGTGCTAGAAAATGTAAAACAACATTGTATGTAGGTGAATGAGCACTTTACGAGTGTTGTGCTTTAGCATATTTCAATTCCATCTTCGAGCTAAGCAAAAAAAAAAAAGAAACGCGAACCGAGTTTTGCGTTTTTATTTTCAGTTCGCATCACTAGAAGTGCATTTACGCTTGTTGCACATTTCACTCAATATTGGTTGAAATCATGCGAACAGGACGTTGATTTCTATGCATTTTACCTAAATAACAAACTTTTGATGTGAAATTAGTATGAATTGATGAGATAAATGTTTGAAATATATATATATGTATAGTACACTTTTATTTTATCAATATATTTGACATGACACACATATTCCGGTTGCACTCTCATTTCAAATGGATAAAACTAGTTCAGTTTTTTTTCTCTTTACCATGAATTGGTGTCAGTATGTTCATCTCTCTTACGAACACCCTCTATTTCGATTCATTGCAACTTTGTTTATCATTTTTTAAATGTTAGATTTTCGATGTGGATACAAGATTTCGACCAAGTTCGTGAAATTGTTCATTTATTCTTGATTGATATTATAAATTATAAAGAATGTAATTTCAGGGGGAAAAAATCCTTGAAATAGTTTGGCGGTGGCTTTAACCTTAGAAAACATTAGATGCATTGCGAAACAAGATAAATTATATACATTAAATGGAAACGAAGAAAATAAAAGGAACCAAAATGATTTTATAAAGAAACTGACAAAGAGCTTATTTGTCGTTTGTTGTTGTTATATCGTTTCACTTTCTATTTCTCTATATCTCTATAATATCTCACACTCTCACCCCTTCTAATATCCACTTCTTTTTTATTTTTAGCTTTATGCTTTGTAAAAACGAAAAATGATGACATATAAAGAGTGTGCAAGTGCACCAAAGGGCATTGCGCTGTTTTATGTATGCTTGACTGTGTTGGCTTCAAATTGTGCTTTTAGATAACTTGGTAGCAAACATGTTGCGTTTGCATTTGTTTCAATTATCAACATTTCCGTGCAGTTGAACATGTGTTCAATCCCAAGTGATGGTCATTTTGCCTAATCAAATTCGACATCAATGGCTACATTGCACAAATATCAAAAACAACATAATTGTCCGTTTTTCTTTACTATTTTGATTATTTGTCACGTTGCACTCTTCTCTGACGTGGTTTATTTATTTTTTCGTGTGTTCGGTTTCGTTTTTTTTTTCTTCTAAATGAGGGAGTTCGGTGTCTAGCAAAGGATATCGTATCATTTTATCACTTCTTGATTGAGCAGAATTAATGGATTCGTTATTTTGTTAATGGCGGAAAATTGCAATGCGAGGAAAAATGAAAACCCGTTGGAAATGTGATCCTGTAATTTGGCCACTATACCCAACGAATCCATTGTCAACAGTATCATCAGATACTATTCGCTGCAGCAACAAAACCAAAAAATTACCAAAAATCGTGAATGAAAATGATTCAAGTGATTTACTGTTATTTATGCCATGTTTGATGAATGCAAAAAAAAGAGGAGAAATCTAACGCTCCGTCGCAAATACCATTATTGATTACAATTATTTTGTATCTACTTTGTTGCAGATTACCGAAAAGTCCTTGCATTGACGATCAACTTCGAGTGAGAATCATCGTGATTTCGATTGTCGATGTCAGCTATAAATAAGAATGTGTCAAACGGAAATGTTGTATACGCATTTGTTGTTGTTACGAAATAAGTATTTCGACTGTAATAACAATGCATGTTCACTTGAATATTATGTTGTCTGAGATTGTTTTGTTGTTCAAACGTTTTAGCTTACGTCCAGAATGGCCAAAATAACAACAACAAAGAAAATCTAATTTCCGTTGGGTTCATTGAGTCAATACAGCGAAAGTTACACTTTGTATGACTCTTTTTTTGTACACTCTTTGGATTGTGTTATTTTGCGTTCGATGGTTGAAGTTTTTAATCAACATTGTGTCCACTTAGTGGACATTCATTCATACTAGCCACATTTGAACTTGTGAGGGCAGTAAACTCTATACGAAAATCAGAACGATTTCGCATCAATGCTAACAAAATAGTTGCAATGAAAACATTTATACATATGTATACCAACATTGTTGATTTGACCACCATAAACTATAAAATCACATTCATCCTTTGATGTTACTGAAGATTATCATTAAAGCCGTCCACTAAGCCGTTTCCGTTTTATAAAATGTTGCAGTAAGTCAACAAATGGGAATAGGTGTTGTCACAAATTTACCATGAGTCCAAAACAATGCAACTCAAATCAAGAAACCTCAGTATGTTGATAAAGTACGTAGAATAGACTTATTTATGATTGTAAACATTGGTGAGAATGCTTTACTATTTACTCTCTTACAATTGAGTAACCTGTTAAATGAATGCTTTCGAGCAATTTACATAAATATAGTTTTAACAGTAGCATACATTGTAGTTTCGAAACGATGTGAAAAGTCGGATGACTGGCAGAGAAGATGGAATAAGGGTGAAAATACGACAATTCGTTTCATGTAACTTTACTAGCAAAAACACGAATGTGTCGACTATATGACGCATGCAATCATCAAATATTTTTCAATTAACTTTTATGAAAGCGTATGTTACAATTTTCAAGAGTGTTGCAAACCCACACATGAGCATAGAATTAAGTTTATATACATTCGCCATGATGACGGAAGCCAAAATTCATTTCGAGCCACTTTAAAGTCTGTCAATTCTAAAATCCAATGACTACGAGTCAAAGACAAATCAGGCATTACATATTTAATGAAAATGGAACGTGGCAAAATTGCTAGATTTACAATATCAATTTTCCCTTTCCTCTGTTCAAATAAAATGTGATTCATTTATTGGAAATGTGATTCAAAGATATTGTGTCAATTGCTATAACTCTTTTGACGTTTTGAAAAAGAACAAATAATCGCGAAATGTAGACAGGAAGAACTCAAAGCCATATAAATGTACTAAAGTGTTTGTTATATATAGTTAATGTCTCCAATCATATTTTTCACAATATTCTGCTTCAGAAACATAGAATTGAAAGTGAAGAAATGAAATTTGTGCAAATAAAGATTTTTCTAAATCGCTGCGAAGCAACCATGACAATCTAGTAATTTTTCTAAATTTAATTACTATTGAGTTTTCAGGTTTGGAAAATGTGAACACGCACCTAAAGCGATGCTACACCACTGCGAAATTGCCTGAAGGAAAACCTCGTACTAAATTTAAGGTTAACCACAAATTCTGTAAAGATACATGTATATATTGAGTCGTGGTTTTCTTTTTATTCGTGCGCTTATGTTTTGCTAAAACCACTTCTAGTATTGAGATCGTTGAATCTTTATATGTTTCAAATACACTGTGAACATAGATAATGCATGTATTTTTGACAAATTTGTCATTGTCATCTTTACAGCAGAGTTGTCTGGGGGAAATCGATTTTGTGGTAGAATCTAGGGGCAGAGCAGTACTACAATCATCATTTTTGTTTAAAGTAATTCTATGTTGTGAGTAGTAATCCATATTAATCCATAATACACACTTACGTAACTTCTAACAGCAGTGTAATGACGTTTCATGTGTACTGCTCTGCCCCTAGGGTAGAACACGATGCAGTTACGATAGTGGATTTATCCAGGTGTGATAATTACTTATTTGAAATCACTTGAATTTACTGTAAAAAAAATTTGATTTTTTGACACTGTTCGAAATTTGTCTGTCAGCATAGAAATCGTACGTAAATAAAAAACTTTTAACAAAATTTTTCAGATATTTATTGTTGATAACAAAATTTAATTAAGGAAAAATGTAAAAATATTAATAATGAAATATTTTAATATGAATCATTTCCTGAGAATTTAAAGTCGAACAGATCTACTTCGAATACCTTTTGCGTTCATGCCCATTTTCATGAACACTTGACCACTGTGTGGTGAAAATGTTTTATTGGAATTTTCTCCTGTTTGAATGTTGCGTGCGCTATTAAATGTAGTAATAAACAAAATATCGTAATTATCGCCGCCAAAAGTTACATCACTGACAATTTCAGCTGGAACATAAATTACGTCAACTATTTGTCCAGTTCTGAATGAAACGAAAAAGCAAAAAAACATATCTGTAAACAATGTAATTTTTGTCTATCGATAGTATTTACCTTGGATCAACCTTCAGAACAGCACCACCGCCATACAGCGTCACATATAAGTATTCTTTTCTATCAATAGCCAATCCAAGCGGAATTGTGTTTGCATCTCCGAATCCGCCTTGATAAACAAACACAATGCGACCATTTTTAATGGTTCCGGTGTTTTTAATATAATCATAAGCCCAAATAACTTTCTGGCATGGATCCACGAAATACATGGTGTCACCTTTTGCATTCCATTCAATGCCGCCTGTAACTTTTACATTTGGTATGATTTTTTTTACACTTTTACACTTATCATAACGATAAACAGCTCCTGTGGTTGGTGGCATATCTCCGCACATACCTCTTCTATAGGTTCCACCATAAAATCGAAATTGTGGCGAAACGGAGGCTTGATTCCAATTATTATTTATAAATTCTTGCGATGTTTCAACTGAAAATAGTGTTTCGACTACTTGAGCTTCTGGTTCAACGCCATTCCATTTAATGATTGCCGTTGATAGACCGTTGCTTACCAAAAACTTATTTTTTCGACATTTAATTGGTATCATGAATGATGGATTGGATATTCCAGGTATTCGACTTTCGTAAATGATTTGACTCTTAAGATTATAATTGATAAGCGTACCATTTGCAAAATCAACCATGAGAAGTCTATTGCATGCTGCATCATAGAACGGTGAGTATGGCTTTGCCCAATTTTTCGGAGAAATTGGAGTGATCTCATTGCAAATCTAAATGGGAATTAAATTGAAACTAGCACCCGGATCGAATATATTTCAAGTTATATTTCAACTTACCACACAGTTTATGAAAACGAAAATGAAAATGATAAACGGTTTATGCATTTTTGTAGCGAGATGTTTAATGAAATTCAAAAATGCTGTGCATGTTTTTAAATACTTTGAAGAAATGTGTGTCAATTCGTTATGTTTGTCGTGACCAATATTTTATATTGTTTGGACAGTTGCAAATTTATTTTTTTAACATTGAAAACAACTGTATTTAAAAAATCAAAAACGATTCACGCATATACCGCATTAGTTTTGGCCACCTGGGAACACACAAATAAAATACTTGCTTTGACTCAGTATACGGTTTTCATATCAAGTATGTGGCATTTTATAAAAAACTTGATTGCAACTCGTTGCTCACTTTTATAAGAAATTCTCTTCATTTTGCCGTGGAAGTGCCCTCTTTTGGTAGTCGTTTTATTTAAACAAATTTGAGACATTTTCAAATCAAATGAAATTGAATTTTCGTCTTTTATCGTTACAATCACTATAATAATCACTTCTGTTGTTTTTAATCCATTATGATTTTTCAAATTATACAATTAATATTTGCTTCGATTTTTTAATGGAAAAAGTTGGTCTTTTGATTTCAAAATTAACCACATTCAATCTCCCACCGAATTTAACCGAATGGATCAAGTCTTATCTGTCAAATCGCAGCCAAGTTGTCAAGTATGGGAATATGGAATCAAGTGAGTTTGTCGTTAACTCTGGAGTACCACAAGGTAGCCATTTGGGCCCCACGCTATTTCTATTGTTCATAAACGACATTATAAGTGCCATCAAAGACGACGACTTTTTCATCTCTCTCTTTGCTGACGACTTAAAACTGGCAACATCTATCAGAAACATCAATGACACAATCAAATTACAATCAGCGATCGACAAATTACAAATTTGGTGCAAAACGAACAAACTACATTTGAATCTTGATAAATGCTCAGTCATGTCAATATCGAAAAAAAGAGACCAAATTATCAATTCGTACTCTTATGACAATCACATTTTTAAAAGAGTGAACGAACAAAGAGACTTAGGAATCATCTTTGACAGTAAACTCAACTTTGTCAAACACATCGATTCAATTGTGGCCAAAGCGACATCTGCACTTGGATTCGTGAAAAGATTCTGCTACGATATCCCTGATGTCCGTACGCTTAAATCTCTTTACTGTGCTCTTGTACAATCGATTTTGGAATATGGCAGTTTAGTTTGGCTTCCGTACCATGGTATTCATAAAAACAAAATTGAATCATGCCTGCGTCAATTCACAATGTTCGCACTCAAAGAATACCCAAATATTACAAACGATTTCAAAATCTCATCATACAGCACTCGTCTAAACAAACTTAATTTGCAGTCACTTCAAAGGCGCCGTATAAATGCATCAATTTTATTTATATTCGATTGCTACACAACAACGTCCATTGCCCATCACTGAAGACTGAAATTGCACGTAATCAAAACGAACGTAACCTGAGAAATGTTGAGTTTTTCAAAATCAACGATAAATTATTGAGAATCAATCCATCGGTTCCACTCAATCAAATGTGCAAAATGTCAAACAAAGTCCACGAACTTTTCTCAACTCAAACAAAAAGATCAACATTCAAAAACCAACTAGTAGCCCTAAGCGATGGACACTTTTCTAACTTGTCATTAGTGTCGAATCATAATACTGTTTTCGTAAACGATTTAATGTGATATTTTACGTATTTTTTTTGACTCATTGTACTCAGTGCAATATAAATATCAACTATTTAACTATTTATTTATTTATTTATTTATTTATATATTTATCAAACTCTCTCCAAATTCAATTTGGAAATGATATTTAATTATTAAATTTTGAAAAGATGTGGTTTTTAACGGTGATCAGATGTGATTCAAACCTTTTTCCCACCATACATGTATAAAAAACTATGTACACACTCAAACCAGTTTTGGCGGTGAATAAATATTATTATTATTATTATTTTTTATTGTCAATATCTATTTCCTCACATGGTACGTGTAACACAAGCGATATATTATCTCATAGAGCACGCATGCGAATTATCTGATAATCTCAGTTAGCTTGATGAACTCATCGTAGAGTAATCACTGAATTTGAGTACTTTTGGTAGTTGAAAATTGTGTGGCGTTCGAGTCGACACTTCGATTATTATGTCATCATAGTTTACATATATTTACAAACATTCATTTTGAAAAAAAATTCTAATAATTTTGCGAAACAACAATACATTTTTGCAGGTACACTTTCAAACAAAATGTTGTACACTTACGTACACTTTCTCTACATTTAATTAAAACCTACTGAATGAAATACAAAACTACAGTAGAATTAATTTTGCAAAATTGTGAATACGCAGCCAAATTATGAATATTCTATAAAATAAGCATTTCCAATATTTGTTATCCACTTTACTTCATTTTAACAGCAAATAAAATAATAAAACCGGTAAAAAATCATCAAATCTGAGAGTAATTCTTTTTTCTCAACAAATAAATGGTCAGAACCCTTTTAAAACCCGTAACATTTGATTTATTAGAGAATCATTTATATTTTTTAAAGTTAATAGCGACCTTTTACAGAGCAAGTGCCATCTTTTGTCAGCTTCATGAAAAAAGTTCTCAAATCGGAAACTTTCGCAAATCAACTGCTTTGAAAAACAAGTAAAGACTTTAAGCATTCAACATTTGTTTTTAGTTCATATTTATATTTATTTTATTTTCCTTTCACTTAATATTTAATGCGCAATTTTTATTTGTTTGTAAAGAAATATATGAACAGAAATTTAATGGTCAATGATTAAATTATTCGAGATACAGATCCATACATAATGCAACCGATGTTTGAAAGTCACATATCTTTATCACGTTTATATTCAAAAAGAAACAATTTATTGCGACATAGTATTTCAAGATTTTGTATTTAGATTGGCTCATAATGAAAGATTTTTAATTTCATTTTTCTGCATCTCGATAACACAAATGAATGAAATAGAAGCAACAGAATTACGATTTGTGATGCCATCTCTTGACGAGAATATACTCACTCAGCTTAAATTTTAAGCTTCTATGCATAAAACTCTATCCAACAATGTGTTTCCAGTAAGACGAGAAATTAAACAAATTTGAAAAAAAAAAAAAGAAAAAACTTCTATGATCCAATAGGCCATATTGCGGAATATCGACATTGAGTTTCATCCGATTTCATCTCATTTCAATTCTCAATCTGTTTTTATGAATTATATTAAATAAACATGTGGTTTCGTAGTTAACGGTAATAAATTTGATTGAATCGCCCGAATAAAACAAACATCTTGGTCATATGAAAAAAAGCCCAAACTATTTTGGAATAAAGCAGCGCGATATATTTTTTACAATAATGAAGCTTTTCCATAAATGCGTACGTATTTTAAAAATACATACGTATTTTGTCTACTAAATTTGATAAAAAATGTTCCTGAGAACATTTGGAGCTCTGCCTTTAAATAGATAATTGAGATAGTTTTTATCCAATTAAAATGCAGCTGTTACGTTAAATGGGCTGTGGTGGTCGAGTCATTTCGTTTCAAAAAGTAAATTTTATTGTGCTATGTGTACAAAGAAGGGGTAGTGTTATTTTAATCGAGATGAAAATAGCAATAATTAGGCGTTAAAAGTAGTCATCGAATGAGTGTGTAATTCACCGTTGTTGTGGCAATAAATTAATGTTGTGTGTATCTTAATTGATTTGTTTGTGGTGTCTTTTTGCTCAATGCTTCTTTCAATTGAGTCCGCCTTTTTCTTGCGTATTAGTTGAATGGTTCAGCTGCATTCGGTGTGACCGCTAGTGATTAATTCTCCCCCAATCTTACGAACAATAATAACCCCTGAACCATTTCTAATTTGTATTGAATGATTTCCTTTTTTGAGTGAGAGGGGAGACTGTGATAACAAAGACGAATGAGAAATGTTTACGACCCAAAGAAAAGTTGTACTGAATAGTTACACGTTAATAGATATAACACACCGTTATCTTATTGATGTACACATTCTAATGGCACATAGATGATTTCCACTGGCAATCCATGATACACAAGTACATTGATATTTTGCTATTTTGGCAAATTTCTAAACAAATGTTTTATGTTGAATTTCACACAACCATTTCAATGTAGCATATTTATCGAAAGCGTTATTTTGGCGATTGTATCGTGGGAATGGTTGGGCTTGTGTCAGCAATAAAACCAACTAATTATTTTATTTATTTAGCTTTTACGACACGAACATTGATCGTGTTTCCAAAATGAAATTTCGGTTTTGCTACTGCATACGGATGTCTTGCATGGATAATAGGACAAACACCGGGTGATTATTAACAATGTATAAATATTTTAAGAGTTCATAAACTTGCCAAATGTGCGACTTTAAAAGTTGGACTTACAAACGAACATAATTTGTCTATTTGACACTTTCAATGCCATGGTAGCTTGTAAAGTTGGACAAAAATCACTTTGATTTGAGTAAACACAAAAAACCGCCTAAAGCTAGTAATAATTAAATAAAGTCTTCTAAAAGGTTTCAAACTTCGACCTCATATCGTCTGTGGATTCACATATGGCGTGATAAGTTACTCACCCCTGTTATCCATGTTATCTGCTGTTGGGGTTAGTAAGGACGATGGTGGCTACAACTTTGACTTTCTCGTCGCCATCCTTTTCTCTCCCAACGAGGAATATGTGGCTGTTTGCCGAGTTTCTAATCACCCTGTGCACATTCAACCAAAATCCATTTCATACAAATGATGAAACAAAAGCAATGAATTTTTAAGGGCATTTACAATTCCTCGCAATCTACAAAGAGTACATTTTTGAAAATAGATCGAAATTTTATTATAGTTGAAAATTGCACAAATTTGTTCAACTGGTTTTAATTTAAAAAAAAAGATAGAGACACAGATCGAAAGAGAGAGTAATCGAAATAAAAACATACATCGAAATCATCGCTTTGCTATAATAAATACTAGAATAAATAATTGGCGAATTGCCCTATAAAATGAATGATCGAATGAAGAA